GGGGGGGTCATGGGGCCCTCCACCAAGAAATTCTGAATAAGGTAGATGCCATTTCTTGCACTGTGGTGTATTTTAACAGGTTGTTAAACATCTATGTTTATCTACATCGGTAAACACTTGATTCAATAACTATTTTAGAGAGAAACAAGAAGTAGCCTGACCAACAGCTCTCCTTGTGTGAATAGAGCACACTCCACTTCTCTCATGCATTCTAAACCCCACCCTGGTCAACAACCGCCGGTATTAATGTAGCGCTAAGCTAGCACGCAACACAGAGGTGTGCGTCCTGACAAGGAAAGTGACCAAGGAGAATCCCTGCATGCGGTGTGGTGAGTTGTTGTAGGTAACCAGGAAAACACGGTGTAGATTTTTAGTGGTTTATTCAAGTGGAATGGATTTGTTCAAAAAGAAATAGAAACAGTGCTGGATGAACTAATATTTCATGGTAAATGTGTGTGTGTGGTGCTGCTGCTGGTGGTGGTGGTGGTGGGGGGGGGGGGGTGTCTCAAAATGAGCATTTTGTCAATGTGAGGGAGACATGTCTTCTTCTAATAATAATAATAATAATAATAATTGTTGCGACGTCTACGGTTGAAGCTGAATGTAGCAAAGGTATGGCTAAAAGGAGTAAAACTGTAGCTAGAACAAGGTAGCAAAAGGTTAAAGTTAAAAGTTGCAAATGGTTAGCTAAAAGTAAAAACACAACCTAAAAGCAATTAAAAACAAAATATTAGGTTAAAGTAACACAATACTAGCTAAAAGCTCAAACAAGCAAAATCTAGGTGGACGTCAGTATTGGCAAATTGCTAGCTAGCATTTGGATATACGAATGAATGGCTAAAATAGCAAATAGTACGCAGTTGTGGATTGCAAAAAATGTACGGAAAACTTAAAAAACAAGAAAAAAAAAACGGAATGGCATCAATGTTGAGTCAGCATTCACACGAAACATTTGAATGGGCCAGGCAGGAGATAGGTGGTCTCCTGAGGGAGTGATTTATTGTTAATGGTTGTAGTTTATGTCTGCCTCCTCGGGGGTTGATTAAGGAAGTGCAATAAATTACACGAGTGGCAATTAAACAGGTTTTTGTGATTTTTATTAATGTGTTGACAGACAATAAAATGAAATGGGCCAGTGTTGTGATGATTTGGTGCAGTTTTTGCCATTTAAACGGCAGCTTCAGGCCAAACAAACGGGCGTCTTCTTCCAATCTGGGTGGAGCAACAAATAGATGTAGGCTCGTGATATGGAGCTGGGAACATTTAAAGATTCGCCGTTGAGAGATGTAACTTTCTTTACATTTTTCCATTGTCGATAGTCCTTAACGAGGGCATATATGTTGAGAGTAGAAGGCTTAATCAGATTCATCTACACATTTAACAATGATATCTTTGTCAGTTCTTCTTTCCGAGCCTGAAAAGAAAGGATACTCTGGATAGTGTGTTTTTTTTTTTTTTTTTTATCGGAGAAGAAAAGAAACGCCCTTCACATCGTCGCAAACAAAAAGCGAAACAGGATATGGACTTCGCTGCGGGGCTTTTTCAAGATGCTACAATGAGATGTGTCAAAAGACAAAAAAGGTTTCTGGGAATCCTAGTCGGGGTTAAAAAAAAAAAAAAAGGATGTCACTTTATAGGCCTTTTTTAGTCAAGCAACAGTGTGTTTTTACAGCTCCCGGTGAATCCTGAAATAGAGCCTAAAGAGCTGAAACAGCATTAGTTTGAGCTTCCATTGCTCGCTGCGCCTGCGTTTACCTAATTCCCCACAATTTAGAAGTTTCCACGAGGGTCCTGACTTGCAAAGCTGAATGATTTCCCTGGAGATGTTGAGCCCGCACAAAGCTTTTAGATATTTCTGTCTCCTGTCCCGCTTCTCATTGCTTTTGTAAGTGAAACTGAAAAGGGAAAGCACCGAGGGGCCTTTCAGCTTATTCCGATGGGTTAAAAGTGCCTTGATGAGGTTCAAAAGAGGCTGCGGCCTCAGACAAAAGCAAGGCCCCATCACTTGTACTTTTTTTTTAGGTCTGTGTCTGTCTGGCCCAGAACAAAGAGCCCTCCCATTGACCTCCAGCAGACTTTTTGGTTTGGCCCTTGACTGGCATGTTAAGCCTTCAGAGTGCAGAGAAATAGGCTAAGCTAACAAGGCTGCTAATCAAAATGATTGACAAGCCTCCCTTAGACATTGATGCTTATTAAACTCTCTGCAGAAGTGTTTCCAGGTCAGTATGATGTTTTTGCCTCAATATTTTACCACTTATCTGTTCAAATAAATAAAAAAAATCTGCATCACATCTACTAGAAAACAGCACATACTTTGTTCTGCACCGAAACCTTCAGGACACACTTTATCCCATGAAAATGGCTGCAGTTAAAACCCATTTTAATTAGCAGTTAATCTGGATCATAAAGTCTGGGCTGATGTTTGGTTTATGAAGTCAGCAGAAATGAAAAGTGTCTCATAATATTTCAGACAGTAAAAACTTCAAGGTACTCATTGCAAAGTCATGAAGACCAGGCCAAAAAAAAAAAAAGTATTACTGTAAATAAGAAACTTAATCTGCGCATTATTGTTCTCACATCGATGTATCCTTAAAATTAACATTTTGTAAACAAACCTTGTGAGTTGAAGTCATGTACGTGTTTCATATTTACCTACAAAAATATGAGGTGCCACTTGTAAAGTTACACAGTCAAAAATTAACAGCAGGATTTTTGGTTATTTAGCCTTTCATAAGATTTTTTCTTTTCCAAAGTCATGTTATTCATACATTTATAAATGTCAGTTCACTAACTAAATACTTAATTTACAAGCTAAATATTTAGTTTACAAACTAATTACTTGCAAGTTAGAAAGCTAAATATTTAGCTCCACACTACATATTTAGTTTAGAAACTAAATACTTTACATGCAAGTTAAATATCTAGTTAGTAAACTAAATATTTAGCTCCACAGTAAATACAGTAAATATTAAGTTTACTAACTAAATGTTTATGTCCAAGATAAATGTTTAATTTACAAACAAAATATTTAACTTGCAAGTTAAATATTTAGTTAGTGAACTAAATATTTAGCTCCACACTAAATATTTAGTTTACAAACTAAATGCTTAACTTGCAAGTTAAATATATAGTTAGTAAACTAAATATTTAGCTACACACAAAATATTTAGTTTATAAACTAAATGTTTATGTCCAATATAAATGTTTAATTTCCAAGCTAACTATTTATTTTCAAAACTAAACATTTAATTTCCAAACTAAATATTTAATTGTCCAAGTTAAATATTTAATTTTCAAAATAAACATTTAATTTCTAAGCTAAACATTTAATTCCTAAACTAAGTATTTAATTTAACTAAATATTTAGCTCGGACCTAAATATTTATTTTCCAAACTAAACATTTAATTTCCAAAATAAATATTTAATTTGTGAATTAAATGTTTAAGTCAGATATAAATATTTAACTTGCGAGCTAAATATTTAGCTTGCTAGCTAAATAGTTAACTTGCAAGTTGAATATTTAGTAAACTAAACATTTAGCTTGAACAAACATTTAGTTTGTAAACTACATATTTATTGTGGAGCTAAATATTTAGCTTGCTAACTAAATATTTAACTAGCAAATTAAGTATTTTGTTTTACTAAATATTTAGCTTGTAAATTAAATATTCAGTTTAGAACTATGACATTTGTAAATGCATGAATAACATGGTGAAAATATGACTTTGGAAAAAAAACAACTATTTTTTCTTATGAAAAACTAAAAAACCTAAATTTTGCTGTTAATTTTTGTCTGTGTAACTTTATAAACGGCACTCCATACGAAAGAGCCAAAATGATGGAAAATGGGTCAAACTTACCGATTTAGCAGATGTTTCACAAAAGCTTCACCTTTAAATGCAGAGCTGTTTTTTATGATGCTCCACCGCCCTGCTTGATCTAATATTTACTCCTGACAGTTGTCTTACTCTTTTTGTTTGCTCTCATGTTTAGCAGCAGATAAACATCTTCTATTAGAGTCTACACATGTTCGATTTCAGCTCATCCGTTTACGTACACTGCAGTCTACCTGCTGTGTCCGTCATGTGACTAAGCAGGTTGTTTACATTGAATGCGTACCCACATTTCAGAACTGAATGTCATTTATCGTTGAAAACTGCTGAAGTCAATTCAAACTGAACCGTTTGATTCATCTCAGGATATACATTTTATTGTAATGGTGACTGTTCAACTAATCAGGCACTTTGTTTTGCAGGAATCCTGATGGGGACGTCCAGCCGTGGTGCTACATCCCTGATCATGAAGACGGGGTCTACTGGAAATACTGCGACATCCCTACATGCCAGAGTAAGACTGCCACTCCTTACTCCTCTGCACTTTCCCACCGTGCCCTCAGGAGCATACTGTGAGCTTGCAGACCAGCCAAACCATTTTTTATTGCTACTCTCATCTTCCCACTTGCTTTGAATAGCTTCACGAGCTGAGATGCTTGTACACAGCTATTATCATCCAAAAAATGTCTCTAATTGCCTCTCGTCACCCCTCCCCCTGCCATGTCCGGGCCTGTTTTTACTTTAATGCGAGCCGTCAGTCATGGTGTGAAGCTAGAACTTTTTTTTTTTATTCGTTAAGACAACCAAGAAAGTCGGACGAAGGACTCGAGAAGGATGTCCAGCTAACTGCACTGATCTAAAGAGCGTGAACTCCCTGACCTGTGTGTGTGTGTGTGTGTGTGTGTGTGTGTGTGTGTTGATAGGATTCCCCTTTGGCTTTGTAGCTTGTTTTGACTCGCTTCTTGATGCAAGTGATTTTGTGCATCTGTCACTTTGTGGAGAAATGTTTTCTTCCCGTGTCTGTGTGTGTCTGTGTGTGTGTGCGTGTGTGAGCTTCCCTGTCCAGTAATTCCTGCATCAGTTTGTTTGATTGACTGGTTACACTTGGAGATTTTGTGGTTTTGTGCGGCTTTTTACCAGTTTGGCGAACGCACAAAGCGCCGCCAGTTTTTAATACCATTACCTTCATTCTCTCCACCTTTTTAATCGCTCCTGTTGAAAAGCGACTTGGGCGGATCACCGGCTTGTGTTCTCAGTGCCAAAGATCAAAATTCTTGCGGAGCAGGTTTGAATTTAGTCATCTGCTGCGTTTGTGTACCCAAAGTGTCACTTCTGCCGATGTTGCTTACTTTTTACTTCAGGCTATTTCAACAGTTTATTCTTCACTTTTTATAAAAAACCCTCCAAAGCTGGCGAGGTCAGAGGGTTTTACTGCTTTCTTTTTGTAACTACAAGAATCTTTTGGATTATTCTGTTTATCTAAAGTAAACATTTCTTTTTTGTCTTTTTAGTTATGAATTGCATTCCGTTTTATTTTTTATGTAATCAGCCTCTGCCGCTTGGTCCTTTTATACCTCCGAGTTTAGATTTTACGCCCGAGTCTTTCCGTCTTCTTACAAGGTTTACATAACTTTATATTTTTAATAAGTCATGCTAAGAAAAGCAAAGTACTGAACTTCACAACAGAAATGTTTGTGTCACTAAATTTCAAGTCTGGCTTAAATATTTAAAATAATCAAATGTCTAGCCTTTCTTAAAGAAATGCATATCGCATGCCACCTTTCAGTTTTAGACAGATTTTCTTATGCTGATTTTTAAGTTATAACAGTTCTGGTCACATTTTGAAAATAGCTATATGCACAGTTTCAGACAGTAATTGTCCAGAATGAACGGTTAGCGTTGGAGTATGTGTTGTGAATGACTATCAGCCACTACCACACCAAGTTTTAGCTCAATATTTGTAGAAATGACGCAAATATGTCACTTTTTGCTCTGGCTAAAGCTCATTAGCTGTGGCAGCCATCTTGAACAGAGTTAATCTGTTGTCGATGTACAGCAAACGTTTGTTTTCAGGGCGTTTCATTAAAATTTGTTCTGTGGTTTATGAGATATTTGGTACCACTTTACAAGACTCCCCTTATAGATGGCTAACATTATTATTTCCTCTATAAACATTTGTAAATCATTAATAACTGCTTATTATGCATTAATTAAGGGTGAGAAAGAGACAAAAGTTTCTTGCCAAATCTGTTCACCTACATATTTCATCTGAGTTGTTATATTAAACATTTCAGACTAAGTTACTACTTTGTAAGCACAATAAGCATTTGTAAACCTTTTTTTTTTTTTTTAGGATATAGTATTAGTTGTAGATACTTATAATGCAGTGATAAAGTACAATACTATACGCTAAAAAGTAGGTTTATAAATGCAAACAAAGTCCATGCTCAAGAATCCAGATATACAATCCAACAATTTTCAGTCAGGTCATCTGGACAATTTCTTTTTTTGTGCTGAAACGTTTCACCTTCCATCCAGAAGGCTTCATCAGTCAAGGAAACACACAACACAAAACTGATTCTTCCCCCAACAGCTTACTCCAAAGTGGAACAAACCAGTTATGTTGGTGCTAAGATGGTGTCTTTGGCACGCCCCCTCCTCCGGTGCCGGCCCTCTCCCTCGTCGACAGTCATGTCAAACTGGTTCCAAACCAACTAAGTCCATGTTCAATAATCCAGGTATACAGTCCAACAATTTTCAGTCAGGTCATCTGGACAGTTTCTGTCCAGGTTTACAAATGCTTATTGTGCTTACTTGGTCTGAAATGTTTAATATAACAACACTAGATGAAATATATACGTGACAGATTTGTCTCTATTTGGCAAGAAACTGCTCAGTTTTGTCTCTCCGTCAGCCTTAATTAATGCATAATAAACTATTATTAATAATTTATAAAGCATTCATAGAGGAATTAATAACATACAACTATTATTAGTCTAGAAGGGGAGCCTTATTGTAAAGTGGTACCAGATATTTTGCTAACAGACAAACAGGGTTCAAATCCTGGCCGGGGGGCTTTTCAGGGTGGAGTTTGCATGTTCTCTCCGTGCATGCGTGGGTTTTCTCCGGGTGCTCCAGTTTCCTCCCACAGACCAAAAACATGCATGTTAGACTGATTGGTAACTCTAAATTGTCTCCAGGTGTGAGTGAGAGAGTGAATGGTTGTTTGTCTCATTTGTCTTTGTGTCCCTGTGATGGACTGGAGACCTGTCCAGGGTGTCCCCCGCCCCTCACACAGTGATTGCTGGACCAGCGATCCTCACAACCCAGAAAGGATGAAGCGGGTAAAGATAATGGATGGACGGATGGACGGATGGATGGATGGATGAACAGGGTTGACTCTAATAATTAATGCCAAGTTTTTAAGTAAAGGTGTTGCATTCAAACTGTGCCGGCGACGTCGCTCAGTCACAACCAACTGATTGACTTATGTCCATTTTTGTGTACTTGAGGTAAATTGACTGTGGCGGCCATCTTGAATCAGGTTGACTCTAACTGGTATTCGGCTGATGTCAACACAAGGGTTTGCTTTCCGAGAGTTTCACTGAAATGGGTCCAGTCAGTCATGAGATATTTTTCTGCAGAAACCGACAAACTTACTCTGCATAGATAATTGTAGTTTTAGGAGAACTTTATTAAGAATGAAGATACATATACGAGTAAAGCTGCTGTTATTGGCAGCTGAACAATAGTTGGACTCCAAGTGTCTTCAGGTTACAAAAACTCGTGATAACTGCAAATAAATACAGAGCATGCAGCATCAGAATAAGAGACATCTTGGTGACATTCATAGTGTCTGCACAGTCTGACCTTCTCCAGTAACTTGTGTACGTTAAGGGTTCTTTGGCTTCTCGATGGCACCTAAAGACGCATGGGCTGGGTTGATTGGCAACTCTGAAATGTGTGTAAATATAAAAGTGAACCAGCTACAGTTGCCTGAGCCATTGACCTTGTTCCACATTGCCTCCAGCCTGTTTATGTCCAAATAAAAGAAAAGTGATCATAGATGATGGATGTGCAGATTTTATCTGTGAATACTTTGCTTGTAGCAAAATAATGACTCAAACGTGGCGAGCAGGCAGGTAGAATGTAGAAAGAGGGTTTTTTAAACAGATACAAGATGTCATAGAGATGAAAAATGAATAAATATTAATTAGCATAACTTAACGGAATGCATAGCGCCCGCTGCCTTGCACAAAAAAGTTTAAAATAAAACTCTTGTGCGATTTGTTGGCACTCAGTAGCCGAGAGTCATCCTCATCACATAATCTAACACTCCAAATTTAACTCAACAGCTGTTAGAACGCTCAAGTTATTACATTTTTTGTGTTTGCTAAATGTGACTAGTTAAGACACACAAACATACATGCGCACGCACACACACACAAAACAGCACTGCATTCCTTTCGCCTTTTGGTAGTGAAGAATTACAACAAAAATAAATAAATAATAGGAACTGGAAGCTAAAACAGAGTTGTTAAGGCTAAATAAAGCAGAAAACTAGCTAAAATCTAAAACATTCTATATTAAAAGAAGCAAAATACTAGCTAAATGCATGAAATAGCAATATGCTAAGAGCTTATGTAACAAATGTTAGCTAAAAGTATCGAGGCTTGCTAGAATCTATCAAAAACAAAATGCTAGCTAAAAGCTTAAAGTAGCAAATGTCCAGTTAGATGTTAAATGTAGTGAAAGTTTGGCCAAAAGCAAAATGTAGCATAAGGCTAGCTAAAAGGAACAAAAGGTTGTACAAAAGCTAAAAGTTGGCTAGAAGCTAAAAAAGCTAAAAACTAGCTAGAAGCTTAAAAAGCTAAAAGTTAGCTAGAAGCTTAAAAAGCTAAAAGTTAGCTAGAAGCTAAAAAAAGCTAAAAGTTAGCTAGAAGCTAAAATAAATAACATTTAATTAGAAGCTAAAAAGCTAAAAGTTAGCTAGAAGCCAAAATAACTCAAATTTAACTAGAAGCTAGAAGTTAGCTAGAAGCTAAAAAGGCAACAAAATTAGCTAGAAGCTAAAAAATGCTTTAACTAGAAGCTAAAAATGCTAAAAGTTAGCTAAACGCTAAAAAAGCTAAAATTTAGCTAGAAGCTGAAAAAGGCTAAATGTTAGCTAAAACCTAAAAGCAACAGAATGGTAGCTAAAACCTAAATGTAGCTAAAAAATTACAAAAAATAGAGCTACTATGCTGAATAAAATTGAAAAGAAAATGATTTTGTATAAATTTAAGAGTTTTAATGCATTTCAATGAGGAAAAAATGATAAATTATGGCAAATGTTTTCTAAATTGTCAAACTTACAAACTCACAAGTCATGAAAGAGAGGCTAACATCACACAAGGTCTCACGCAGTAGTTGGATTACAAAACACATTTTTAAAGGAATTTATTAACGAAAAGAAAACATCAGTGTCTCTTAAATAAGCCGTTTAAAACGACTAAAGATGATTAAAATGTTGTG